AAGCGAATATACACATGCAATGTAAACATAGATAAACTGACACATTATGGCACAAGATGATTTGTGTAAATGTCTCTGATCATACAGCTACATTGCACACACTATGCACACATTTTATACCTTTTATGTCTTTGTTACTGGGTAGACTTACCATCATTTGGGCGAGTCAGAGAGTCTCTTTCAGTTCGTTACCACATAGAGAACAGAACAGCTCTGGTGCAGGAGGTGGAGATGGCTGTGGAACCTTCTGATGCCTTCATGTTCTCTGGACTCAAACAGGTACAACTGCGGTCCTGTCTAAACAAAGATTTGGCAAATAAAAAACAATATAACTACATGTCCATCAGCAGGGTCAACAATAATGAATAGGTTTCCTGATACTTTTTTAATATCACATGAGTTACAGTGATTACCAAATGATCTAGCGTAATTACATAGATTGCTTATACAGATCACTGAGGAGATGATCAGCTGATGGATACAAAAGTAGCTCAGCTTTTGAATTCATGCTAAAATCACAGAACCCCACCCTTTTTCAGGCGTTCTGGGACAGCTCTCAGACCAGCTTTAAAGCCAAACTAAACAGGCAAATTGCTGATACGGTTTTGAGAAAAATGTGTTCTATATTGTCACCTAATACTGGCAATATACACTGATCAAAATTATAAACGCAACACTTTTGTTTTTGACCCCATTCATCATGAGCTGAACTCAAAGATCTAAGACTTTTCTCTATGTACACACAAGGCCTATTTCTCTCAAATATCGTTCACAAATCTGTCACAATCTGTGTTAGTGAGCACTTCTCCTTTGCCAAGAAAATCCATCTACCTCACAGGTGTTTATAACTTTGTTCAGTGTATTTAAAGTTAAGTTGTGCAGGACGGATTGCTCACTTCCAGTGTCCAAAATTGTATCATTCAACGAGCATCAGCACCTAATTCATAGTTTTCACGTGACGTCAAATTCCAAGGAAAACGCTACCTTGGAGGGAAAAAAAGACGTTATTTTCCGCTGCCTGCCAACCAGGAACCAAGTGATAAACTGTTACTTTCAGTTTGTTACTTCTGCGTTGCCAAAATGCTGGATGGTTGTTGTGCTTTTGGATGCACTAATCGACGATGAGACAAACCTGGGCTGTGTTAGGTGAGGGATTCCCTACAAGTTAAACGTAAGCATTACCACAGTCGAGCGCTGGCAGGGATCTGGTGCTTTTTAACGGCAAAAATACAGCAATGGGTGCTGTATATGGATCGCAAGTGCCCAACATTTGCAGTCCATATCTATCTTCTTCTTGAGTTGAGTGGTGATCGAAATAAAATTTAACAGCTTTTGTGGCGTCTCTACGAGGGAGTCCGGTGGGAGCCTCTATTTTGGTCTTTTGTTTTGCCCTCCCGTTCAGCGCACATGTCATGATGTGACTGAAAACTATGGATTGGAGACGAGTGACTAGTTTGAGGTTTTAAATTTGGTTGCAGTTTTGTTATTATTATAACATTTATTTCATCAGAATCTAAAATATATACTTGAGTATGAATGCATGAACAAGAAGATGCATTTAGTGTGTGTGTGTGTGTGTGTGTGCGCGCGTGCAGGTGCGGCTGCGTATCCTTCCTGGCTCAGAGCAACAGATGCTGTATAACTATTACCCACTGATGGCTGGTTACCAAACACTACCACAGCTCAGCATCAGCCTTCCCCGCTGCCCGAACACCAACACACACACACTGAGACGCTTCCTGCCCCAACGCATCTTTGTCAAGGTAACACGCTCACACACTATTGAGTTAGCAGTCATTGTTATCTAAACGTGAAGATATTCAATGTTCTAACAAATAGTTTTCTTTTTCTTTCTCCTCAGCCTCAGGGTCGACAGCTGGATGATGCCTCCATTGCTGCAGCTTGAGAAGAACATACAAACTGTTCAGTGTTATTAGAAGAACATACCAACATCGTGCTGTTCTAGATGATTCCTTACAGATGACTATATTAACACTATTTGTTTCACATTGTTCTGTAAAAACTCACAATGAAAACTGTTAACCACACATCAGGAGACCCTGCTGTTTCTTTTCAGAGTGAATGTGATTACAGGTTGAGCGTGACAGACGGCTGGTGAATGAATTGATCCACTGATGTTCATTTAACATTGAAAATGATGTATGAATCTGATGTGAACTAAATGGAAATTAATGAAATTTTAATTAAATTGAAGTAATGTAAACTAATTGTGTTCCATGTGTGGTGTGTTTCCACTGGTGGAGTGGCAGGAGGTATACTTACAATTTGCACCACACTGCACTGCACCACAGAAATGTAGAAATGACTGGTGATGTCATCAACCTGCCTCTTAGACCCCATCCTGACTAGGCTGCTTAAAGAAGTTTTACCCTTAGTCAGCACTTCTGTACTAGATATGATAAATCTATCTCTATCAACTGGCTATGTACCACAGTACTTTTAAAGTAGCTGTAATTAAACCTCTTCTGAAAAAGCCCAAACTTGATCCTGATGTTTTAGCCAACTATAGACCTATATCTAACCTTCCATTTCTCTCTAAGATCCTGGAGAAAGCAGTTGCTAAACAGCTGTGTGACTTTCTAGAGAGCAATAGTTTATTTGAGGATTTTCAGTCAGGATTTAGAGCTCATTATAGCACAGAGACAGCACTGGTGAAAATTACTAATGACCTCCTTATTGCATCAGACAAAGGACTTGTCTCTGTACTGGTTTTATTAGATCTTAGTGCTGCATTTGATACCATTGACCATCAGATCCTATTGCATAGACTGGAACATTTCATTGGCATTAAAGGAACCGCTCTAAGCTGGTTTAAGTCCTATTTATCAGATCGATTTCAGTTTGTACATGTTAACGATGAGTCCTCCATGCATGCCAAAGTTAGTCATGGAGTTCCTGAAGGATCTGTCCTCGGACCAATCCTGTTCACTTTATATATGCTTCCTTTATGCAATATTATCAGGAAATATGCCATAAACTGTCATTGTTATGCAGATGATACTCAGTTATATCTATCGATCAAGCCAGATGAAACTCATCAGTTAGCTAAACTTCAAATGTGCCTTCAGGATGTTAAAACCTGGATGACCTGTAATTTTCTAATGTTAAACTCAGATAAAACTGAAGTTATTGTTCTGGGGCCCAAGCACCTCCGTGAAGCATTATCTAAAGATATAGTTTCCCTTGATGGCATCGCCCTGGCCTCCAGCACCACTGTGAGGAATCTTGGAGTTATCTTTGATCAGGACATGTCGTTTAAGTCTCACATTAAGCAAATTTCAAGGAACGCCTTTTTTTCACCTATGTAATATTGCAAAAATCAGGAACATCCTGTCTAAAAATGATGCAGAAAAACTAGTCCATGCATTTGTTACTTCTAGGCTGGATTACTGCAATTCCTTATTATCAGGCTGCTCTAAAAATTCCATTAAGACTCTTCAGCTGATCCAGAATGCTGCAGCACGTGTTCTGACAGGAACCAGGAAAAGAGATCACATTTCTCCTGTCTTAGCTTCTCTGCATTGGCTTCCAGTAAAATCCAGAACAGAATTTAAAATCATTCTTCTCGCATACAAAGCTCTTAATGGTCAGGCACCATCTTATCTTAAAGAGCTCATAGTACCTTACTACCCTACCAGAGCACTGCGCTCCCAGAATGCAGGGTTACTTGTGGTTCCTAGAGTCTCCAAAAGTAGACTAGGAGCCAGAGCGTTCAGCTATCAAGCTCCTCTCCTGTGGAGCCAGGTTCCAGTTTGGGTTCACGAGGCAGACACCATCTCCACATTTAAGAGTAGGCTTAAGACTTTCCTCTTTGATAAAGCTTATAGTTAGGGCTGGCTCAGGTGAGTCTTGAACCATCCCTTAGTTATGCTGCTATAGGCCTAGACTGCCGGGGGACTTCTTATGATGCACTGAGCTCCTCTCTCCTCTACTTTCTCTCCCTCTGTATGCAACCTCATCCCCTGCTCGAGGTTTCTGCCTCTTAAAAGGAAGTTTTTCTTTGCCTCTGTCGCCTAGTGCTGCTCTTGGTGGGAATTGGTGGGCTTCTGTAAATAACATCACAGAGTACGGTCTAGACCTGCTCTTTTATGAAAAGCACTGTGAGATAACTGTTGTGATTTGGCGCTATATAAATAAAATTGAATTGAATTGATGTGGGGAAAAATGGTAGTACATCAGTTCAGAGAAGCCACACTACACATCTGTGCAATTAAACATGTACAGTGGTGCCATTTGAAGGTTTGAAATGGAAAAAATCACAATGTTTTTTTATAACAAATACTTAGTAAATGATAAGAATTCTTGTAAGCTATTTTATACAAAAATGTATAAAAAAAACAGGACATGCAGGAGAAGGCACCTATTCAGGGCTCTACAGTGTGACAAATTCAATCGCATATGCCCCTAAAAATAGATACATACGAACCAGAAAAATGATTTTACTGCACAGTGTGCCAGTAACAACTACAACTTACTGTAAGGATTTAATGAATGAAAACCACCCACAAAAATGAAACTGATGTAATTGCTATTAATATACTAGTGTATAATAAATAATTAATTTACTCTGTGTTACTTGAACATTTTTCACTGTGGGCTCCTTGGGAAAAAGCTTGTGTCATCAGGGCTTAAATGTGACAGTGGCATTTGACATTTGAATATATCTTCCAGAAAGCCTGTGTTTCCTAGTTCCTTTGCTGAAACATACATTCATACCATATGTTACCTAGTTTTTGGGCGAAATGGACAACGGATACTAAATCGCTGTCGAAGGCGAACATTATAGGGCGTTGTAAAACACCACAATCTGGTTTACACGCCTTTGGCCGCTGTTGGCTCAACCAGGGCCGTTAAATAAGAATATCAATAAGAATTAATAAAAATCTTATTGAACGGCCCTGGGCTCAACTACCCTTGTTCGGCCAATCAGGACCATGTCTCCTTGAGGCAAGATATCTTATCGCGATAGTTGGGTGCTGGATTCAAACTGCTGTGGCGGTTTAGGTTTTAACAGACAACTGATCGGTGACAAGGTAACTAACGTGACATGATATTCCTTTGTTATTGTCGTTATCAAAATGTGTCATGTTATAGCCATTATCTGCATAAATTCAATAAATGTTGTCTATAGTTACTTAGGCGCTTTGTTAAAGGACATTTGTCGAGTTAAAGGTGTTTAGATGTGGGTAACGTAAAAGGAGTTCAAGCGCCATTATTGTCGAAATGGTTAATGCAGCTGTAAGGTTAGCTAGCCACGTAACTCATCAAAGGTAACGTTAAACCATCTGGTGTAACTTAGCTGATTTCGCACTTGTTGTCTATAAAGCAGTTGGTAACCATGTATTTGTGGTTTTGTCAGCTGTATGAATGACAAAGCTAATATCAGAACTCCGGTGGCTTTAAACTAAATGTTTATTAGTCACAGGGACCTTATATTTAACGCAGGGTTAGTGGGACATAACAACAACGTTAACGTTAGTCGATTTACGCAGTTAGACATGCTTTGTGTGGATAAACCAGGGGTGTAGGAGCGACTTTGAAACTAGGGGGGTTAATAAAGCACTTAATTTCTCATTTGTAATGACTTTTGAAAACACAATGTACTTATTAGTGTGGCTGAAAGAGGTTATTTGCATTGACAGAAGATGGAGAATAGACTGGAGAGGGGCGATTATGAAGACTCAGGAGCACAGTCAGATAGCCCATTAATGGAGCTAGCCACAATACAAATGTATTTAGTTATCCTAATGTTACACTTGTGAGCTGTCTGTGATATTACCCGTCTCTCACTTGGCCCTGACTCTCCATTCAACACTGAACTGTCTTCAGTGCAAACTCTGATGACATGCCATTGGCCTAACAAAGTCTTTTTACTACGTGAGTTTTAGAATAAAAATGCTATTTTCATTTATGAGGCTGCTGTTATTAGTTTAGAGTCAGATACATGTTGAACTAGACTAACTTTACAATGCTCCAGCCACACCACGTTCATTCCACCTTAATATATCTGTTCCTGTTTTGTGTCGTCTAGTGTAGTAATGTTTGTCTCTTATCCTGTAAGTTGATTTTTGTAATCTTGTATTGAGCACCATGGGCCTTGAGAAAAATTTCGTTCATTTGTGTACTTGATATGTGGATGAATGACAACAAACTTTACAGCAGCCAAATAACGTCCAGCTCAGCATCCAGACCGCGGTCTGAAGAGGAGATGTTAGCTAACGTTAGCGCTAACTGCCTTTCCAGCAGTTGCAAAACAACAGACAGACTTTAATAAATGGACACACTGTGGCCTACACTGTACATTTACAGCCATACTGAAACGCAGTGCTCATGTTTTTCTCTGCCACGCTTGTTTACCCTATAGTGAGTTTCCCCATATTGGATGACCAAATGACTAATGAGAGCACACACAGCATTAATATTTATGTAATCTCTCCAGAAGCCAGTTCTAGAAGCAAAGTCTGGTAAAGTCTATCGTCAAAAATTACAAGTTCATTGAGATTCACCATGAAACAATTTGTGAGGCATGTGCTGAGTTGCTTGGTTCCTGTGAGCACGGTGCTAGAAGCATAAAGCAGGTTTAACAAACATCCTTTTTCCTCCTCTTTCAAGATGGCAGCAGAAGAGGACATACAGCGGCTGAGAAGGCAGCTGAAGGAGCGAGAGGAGCAGGTTCACCAGGCTGCCCAAGCTGGTTTGGATCTCCTCAACCAGCAGATGGATCTGCAGAACAGACTTGACGAACAGAGAGTGGAGATGACCAATGCACTCGAGGTATGACACTGCACTTTAGAGTGTCTGCTTACCCAAATCACAGGAAAACACAATTCCTCTCTTAACATGGCTAGTGGTATGTAGCCATGCATATGTGAGTGAAATGTGAGCACTGTACAGCCCTGGAAAGCTGTTCACAGTCAGGTCTGTGGATTATTGTTCAGTAACCAGGTATTTTTTCAACTTGTACACCTGTCTATGTGTGTTATGTGTCACAGGTCCTCGAGCAAGACAAGTACTCCCTGCAGAAGGAAGTGGAGTTAAAGACTCGGATGCTTGAGTCACTCCAGTCAGACTACGACTGTCTGAAGAACCATCAGAGACAGGAGCTTCAGGAACAACAAGAACATCTGGAGAGGAGCCACAGCACAGCACTCAATGAGCTCAACAACAAGGTACAATAACCTTAAATGGTCTACTCTTGTCTAGGGGTGGGGGATGCATCGATTCTTAGATGCATGCGATGTGGATGTGAAAGATTCTGAATTGATTCACAAATGTCAAATCGGTTGTCTTATAAAGGCATGTGTTCACTAGCATAGACTCCACTCGGTAAAGAACTTGGTAGCCTATTACATTACAAGTTGCGGAAACGCTGGATATTTTACAAGCACGGTCCAGGTAAAGAAACCGTGCACACACAGAGTGCAGATGTTGGTCATTAACAGGCTACATTATTAACAAGCCAGCATGTGGCTCACCAACTGCCATGATAACGGATTGCGGGTGGAAAACTCTGGGAAAAAGAGGAGTTATGTGTCTTTTGGGTGAGTTTATAAAATACACTGCTAATGGGGAAAGTCAGGGGAGCACAGAGAGCAATCACGATGCTGACTGAACATTGTGATGTCTGGCAGCCATCGCTGATGGACAATTGCATCGTCTATCGGCCCAACTATAGAGCAAGCGGCAGAAAGTGATGGTGAAAGTTAGCAGAGGAAAACATTATCACTAAGTTGTCAGTGTAGTAAACCTACACTTCAGTAGTAATTTTATGAATCAGTGTTTCCCACAGAATGACAGCGTAACTATGGCGCACAGGATGGAGGGTTAAAACGATCAGTAAAACCTTTATATACTAGTCTCAAATCTGAGGAGGGAATCTTCCAGACATTGACCTGGATTATAAACAGCACACACAGGTCAAAGTGAAAATAATTATTTACTAACTAAGGTGAAGACAAGTGAAGAGTAAAAAAATGTATGTATGAGACAGTGATTATAACAACATTGACATTAACAATTCAATTTTATTTATATAGCGCCAATCAATATTAACAGTTATCTCGGAGCGCTTTTCATAAAAGAGCAGGTCTAGACCGTACTCTGTGATGTTATTTACAGAAGCCCAACAGTTCCCACCAAGAGCAGCACTAGGCGACAGAGGCAAGGAAAAACTTCCTTTTAAGAGGCAGAAACCTCGAGCAGAACCATGGCTCAGGGTGGGCGACCATCTGGGCGGTTGGGGGTGAGAGAGAGAGAGAGAGATGGAGGCAGCTTACACAATATACACAAAGAGGTACAGACTGAATGAATAATGGTAAAGATATTTATAGTACTGTTTATGATAATAATTGTAATGTGATAATACTAACAATAATAACTTGAACTGCAAGCAATTGGTCCACGCCCCCGGGGCCAGCCGCGCCCCTTGCCCCGCGGAGGCCGCGCGAGTCGACCTGGGCGCCCCGCTGTGGCTTCGGGGGCCCATGGTGTATAAATGACCAGAGTTTGAAATTAAAGGGACTTACGGTTACGGAGATCTAAAATGAATGTATGTCTATAATCTGTGTATGGTTCATTCTTTGATTATTTTGTTTCAAAACAGAATCGGAAAAAAACAAGTAGCTTGTTGGTTTTTCCGTTTTAAAACCAAAACGGATAAACAGAAAACAAAAAAACAGACATCAGTTTTTGTTTTTCTGTTTTAAAGCTAAAACGGAAAATATTGATTTTGATATTCAATGAGTCTTATTGGTGTAGCTTTGTGTGTTAACTTTATAAACCTGCAGCAGATACACTTGGGCGATGGTGGTGCCTGATTAAATGCAATTAAGATGAGCTTGAACATTAACATAAGTGGGTTTTTAGTTAGAAAAACAGGACAATATTATATAGCTGCAGTACTGGAGGCTGCAGTATCAACGAAGACCACAGCAGCTCTCATGGTGAATTAAAAGCCAGGGAATAAAAATATGTTTTTAAAAGATTTAAAGGTGTGGAGGTTGGACGCCACTTTAATGTGAGGAGGTAAGTCATTCCACAGTTTGGGGGCAACTGCTGAAAAAGAGTGATCGCCCCTGGTCTTCAGCCTGGTCCTGGGCACGTTCAGCCGCAGCTGATCAGCAGACCTCAGTGACCTTGGCGGGGTGTAAGTGTGCAGGAGCTCAGAGATGTACTGAGGTGCCAACCCATTAAGTAGGGCTGTAATCAACCAAAGAAAATCTTGGTCGACTAAAGTCCTGAAATTTTCGACTAAAAATGACGTAATTATTATTTTTTTAAATTAGTCAGCTGTGCACTGTGCGCAGTACTTGGTAGCCTTGTTGTCCGCCTAAATGAATTGTAAATAAACATAAAAAAATAGTAGGCTATTTGCAGTTTATTAAATCGTTTTTTATCTAATTATTTTGCACTAAATGAGTCTGTCGGCTCTGACAGCAATGCGTCACGTGCACCTGCGCAATATCATAGCCTACGATTTACAAAAATAGTACTATGTTGCTTGTCAACTAGTGATATCATCACAAGAATTGTTGAGGAATATGCAACATCATTTAGACAATTATTTTTGTCATATGTTATAATAATAAGTTTATTAGACACTATGATCATTTCAGCAGAGCGCAGCTGAGCGCTCAGCTTCGCGGCGGCAGACACGAATCGACTATTAACTTAAAGTTTTTGCTTTTAATAAACACAAAAGGCACATCCACTTTAATAAACAAAGAATATTTATTAAACAAACCAGATCAAGAGCAGAAACGAAATAAAGTGCATAACTGAAAAATAAAGCATCTTAGGCTCAAAACTAACACACACAGTGGGCACAGCGCAATTTTGCATTAGGCTCCAAATAAAAAAATAATAAAGTGCCCAAATAATCCAATAAATAATACTAGAAATAATAAATGTGCACTTTGCACAATAATAAAAGGGAAGCATAAAAGTATTAGGCTATTAGCCAAATTTTAAACGAAACAGAATAAAGGGCAACAACAAGGTAAGTGCACTCAGAAGAAGAAATACAAAAATAAATGAATCAAATGCCCAAATCCACAAGTATGTCAAATAAATGTGCAAAATTATAAAATGTTATTAATAATGTCAAAAACGAAATAAAGTGCATAACTGAAAAATAAAGCATAGGCGCAAAACAAAAAAAAAAGTGGGCACAGCGCAATTGCGCGTTAGGCTACAAAAAATAAAAGGTGCCCAAATCCAATAAATAAATGTGCAAAATTATAAATTTTGATTAATGTCCAAAACGAACAAATGGCTACTCACAGAGAGTACAATCAATGTCCACTCCACACTTTTTTGTGTTGTGTGCGAGAAACACAAGCATATCCACGTTCTTTGGAAGGAGACAGCTTCTTGCTTTATTGACAATAAATCCTGCCTTGGAGAAAATGCGTTCAGATGGCGTGGATGTTGCAGGGATACAGAGCAGTCGCTTTGCAACTCGGGGCCAGGCTCGGGTATCTTTTTTTTTTTTTTTTCACCACCCCAATGGTCCGGAGTCGATTTTGGTTCTGTCTTGAAGATAGTTTTTCATTTCTTCTGTCACTGTGCTTCTCCCACCTGATTCTCTAGAAAGCAGATCGTCTTCGTCTTCGCACAACAGCATAGCAATCTCCTTCTCTTTGTCGTTTTTCTGCTTTTTTGACACATGTTGCTCTTCCTCACTTCCAGGTTCACCTTTGCCCGCGACTGTACTGAGTGCACCCAGTCGTTCTGCCAGCTGTACAACTACTATATAGGCCTAGTCTCGTTTGGCATCATCCAGAAAAGACAGCTGCTTAAAACGAGGGTCTACTACTGCAGCTGTAATGTATACACTGTTAGTCATCATCATTCGGTTTTTAAACTCCCATCTACTGTCAATTTCTTCGACCAGCTTGCTTTTCATTTTTTTGGTAATGGGGCTGTCATCATCCGCGATGGCCAGGTGACGTTTCTTCAAGTTTGCTAGCATGGGTACTGTTGCAGACAGGGACGCGTTCTCCTCTTCAGACAGCAGCTCGGTCAGGGTTGTCATCGGTTTCAGCACATTTTTAATGTCCTCTATCGCATTCCAGTGTGCTGTGGTAAGGTCCAATGTACTGCTGTCGCTTTTCTTTGTAAAGTTTGGGTCAGACAGCACTGCGGTAATGGGCCAGCGTTGCTCCAGCAGTCGCTCCAACATTGAAAATGTTGAGTTCCAACGTGTGGACACATCCTGAATTAATTCATGCTGAGGGACGTTTTGCTGCTCCTGCTTCTGTTTTAGCCCAGTTTTTGCTTTGTGCCCCTTTTTGAAATGTCCCACCAGATGACGTGATGCAGCCACGGCACAACAAATTGGATCTTGTTTGAGTGCAGCGTTAATACAGAGCTGCAAAGTGTGCCCGGCACACCTGACGCCCTGCATCTCTGGCCATTTATGTGATTCCTTTAGTGTTTCCACACTGAGTGCCATATTAGCCGCGTTGTCACATACAACAGAAACTCTCTTTGCTTCTTGAATTCCAAAGGTATCAGCAACTTCAGATAGTCGCGCAGCAATGTTTATTCCCGTGTGCGCCTCTTCTATTTGTTTTGTCTCAAGCACAAGACTCTGTGCTTTCCAGTCTCCGTCAAAGAAATGGGCAGTCACTGTCATATAGGACTCCATTCTAAGAGATGTCCACATATCTGTGGTCAAGCTCAGTGCCTCGCTGTGTTGTATTAACTCTGATACTTTCTCTTTGAGTCCCTCATATTTTGCGGTTAGTGCATGCGTGATTGTGTGGCGTGCTGGCACGGTATATCCAGGTTCCAAAACTTTTAACAAGTTCTTAAAACCTTGGCCCTCCACAACAGCAATGGGCCTCATATCCTGAGCAATAAAGTTAACAATTCCTTCCGTTATATTATTTTTCCGTTTGGATGATAAAGGAGGCTTAAAATCCAGCGTGCTCTGGGTGTGTCTGGGGGATGCCGTCATTATGGATGGATGCGCCTGCATTTATAAAATGATTATTACACTAAAACATTGAAATAATTCGAATTTTGATATGTTCATATAGCCTACTCAAAATACAGACAGGGCAACCTAACGCAGACAAGTTAGCTTACCGCTTTTAGATGGTACGTCATGTTTGTCATCGAGCTGTGGAAGGCAAACTGTTGGTTGCAAATTTTGCATTGAACCTTTTTCCCGTTGTCAATTTTAACAAAGTGCTTCCACACTGTCTTTGTTGTTGACATGTTAGAAGACGGACTATTAAACACTCTCAGTTAATTATAGATAAATAATAGGCCTATTTAGCATCAAACCTTCTATAGCCTACTTATCTGTCTCTCTTCTCCTCCGGTGGGTTGGGCTAATCCAAAAATGTAAAAACAGGGGGGGTGTTCTTAAGACAGACTGTTACCTGTGAAACAGGGGTGCTCTGAAAACACCCCCATTAGCAATTAGTGGTTTCCACCTGATGAAGCGCGGCAAAACTGATGAAATGAAAACTGATGAAATGAATGCGGCAAAAAATCGACCAATCAGAATTTTGGTCGAACCAGAACGTACCGACCAATTAATCGACTAATCGACTGGGACGTTACAGTCCTACCATTAAGTGACTTAAAAACAAACATTAAAATCTTAAAATGTACAGGGAGCCAGAGGAGCGAGGCCAGAATGGGGGTAATGTGTTCGTGTTTCCGGGTTCCTGTTAAAAGACGAGCAGCTGCATTCTGGACTAACTGCAGGCATGAGAGGGAGGTTTGGTTCACACCGATGTAAAGTGCATTACAGTGGTCCAAACGGGTAAAAGCATGAATCACATGCTCAAGAAAATAAAAAGATAACAGGTTTAATTTTAGATAAAAGCCTCAAATGATAAAAACTGGATTTAACCACAGTGTTTATCTGCTTGTCAAGTTTAAAATCACTGTCAATTTTGGTGCCTAAATTGGTGACTACTGGCTTTACGTATTGCTGCAGGGAACCAAGGTTTATGGGAGTGTAGTCACAAACCCGGCTGGGTCCAAATACAATGACCCCAGTTTTGTCTTCGTTTAAATTAAAAAAATTATAAGACATCCAGGCCTTAATATCCTTGAGACATTCAAGTAGAGGAGTCAGGGAACTGTTTGCATTTCTTCTCAGGGGCAAGTAGATTTGCGAGTCGTCCGCATAAAAGTGGTAGGAAATACCATATTTTTAAAAAATGTTTCCAAGAGGGAGAAGGTATAAGGAGAACAATAGTGGTCTAAGAACTGAGCCCTGAGGAATTCCACAGAGAAGGGGAGCGGTAGATGATGTGAAGTAACAAATAAATTCAGTGATACTGTCTGTAGCCTACATCCAATGGTACAGCAAGCATGAACTGTTATTAGTTAATTCAGCGAGCTGTAGCTATATTAACAAATCATATACGGATGAAAATGTTCGGGTAAATTTCGTCCTCTCTATACTGTTTCGACCAGACCATTATTTTTTTTTTTGTGAGATGGAAGAATTTAGAAAGTTTTGCGGCGCTGCAGTAAAATCAGGAGCGTCAGACTTCATCCAGCCAGAGGGAACATCGGTTCCACTAGCAAAACAACCCTTAGTATGGCTAACGGTGGGGGAGCAGGGCGCTGGAGCGTACAAGGCTCCACCGTAGAAAAAAGCCTTGGTATATTCGGGTATTTTCTTAGATAGCTCAGGTTAACCAGCTGCTTCAGATCAGCCCAAAACAAAATGCTTCCTTGATGCTGATGTACTTACGCTAGAAATTGGAGAATTTTGAGTGTTTGAAGCGCTGTAATATACAGAGCCTCTACAATCATATTTGCCACAGTTGATATGAGATTCGATGCGACCTGAAAAGAAATAGCCTTAGGCTATATAAAATTAAATATAAAAATATGTAGCATAATATTGACTTTGTTTCACGTAGGACACAAACACAAGTCTCCTGATTCAAAGATCCTGGCCCTCTTTTCACACCAACCATGTTCTTACTCAGTCTTGTCTGTTAAATATCATATACCTGCCTTTACCGTCACACTGCGTTGACCTATGACGCTGTAGGGATCCCCAGTGCGTTACAAACGCCGTTAGGGTCTTGACCATGCGTCTACATGTGACGAGTCGGGGAATAAGAACGAGTTGTAGGGATACAACTCTGTCAAAGACAGAACATAACGCAGGGTCCTTGTACGTTCTGATTGTTTTTTCGTTTGAACCACAAAACGAACAAACGAGAAAACCACCTTTTTTTTCGTTTGTCGCTTCAAACCAAAAATGAAGAAACGGGGGGAAAAAAGAGGCCGTTTTCTGTTTTTGGTTTCTGAATAGAAAAACGACTAACCCAAATTCAAATAATGGTCTGATTTTTGTTTTTTCATTTCTCCGTTTGAAGATAGATGTTAAGAAAAGAAAGACAGGTGGACCAGGTGACCCGGAAGTAATAGTAAACATGTTAAATTAAAAGCCAAGCTTTTAGAACGGTCAGATCTGTAACATTATGCAGCACTAACATTGTACCAGGGTGATGTTAGATGAAAATAAATAAATAAACCTCGACCAAGAGAAATACGTTAGTTTGCTTGCATGCAACAATGGTGTCTGCGTGAAGCATAATGTTAGTTAACATCCAGTTATCAGTGCGGCAGCAGTTTGCTTTGCTGGCTGACAGTTACATTGTGGATTAGCCAGATGGTAGCTGAAAGCTGGGTCCGTGGGCGGAGTTCATACATAGGTGTGAATACCTGAGGATTGTGGGATCTGTCATATATTTTGCACCATCATTGGTGCCATCAGACATTTTTTATTTTAAAGCTTGTTGTCTGGGAGATGATAAAGAAAAATGAATGACTATTGTTTTCAAATTGTAGTTGTCTTAACTCCGTAGAAAAAGACACTGCTGCTAATAGAGTAAAGAGATTCATATTGATCTGGATGTTTGCATTACAAAATTTACAATAAGTTCAACAGAGACAATACAATTATTTGAATGAAAATTCATTCAAACATCTTTCTTCTGAAAGTTTCCAGGCAGGATATTTGTAAGCAATTCAGAAATTTGGGAACATTTTGCCATTAAAGTGGTGGAAAGAAGAATCTAGCAGATGGTTATGTGTGTGAGCAGTACCTCCATGGAACCACATCAAGGCAAATATCTACATATAGTAACAGTTACTGCGTTTTGCCGTGTGTTTTCTCAGCTGCTGAGTCAGCAGTTGGCTCTGGAGGAATCCCAGCTGAATGAGAAACAGCTGAGACATAAACTGGAGGTGCAGACTGAGACTCTAAACTACAAGATGGAAGAGCTGCGAGTTCTGAATGAACACACCCAGAGCTCCATGACATCTGAGATGATGGAGGTGCAGATGACGATTATGGAGCTGGAGAACATCAAGGTAAGGGGGAGCTGACATAACTTCTGAAACCAGGTATATCTGGACTGTTCCTCTTCTGTACATTAACTTCACATTAACATACATTAACACATCTGTACATTCAGTGAGAACGTAGCATCAATCACCTACAAGCCTTAAACTTTGTATAATCTGCTGTATAATCCGCTTCTTTGTCAAATGCCAATCCTGATCGGAACATATTCCACAAGGTGTCCTTGCCTTCCTCCTTATTATTAAGTCAGGCAAGTGGTTTCTGTATACCAGGGGGAGTTGGAGCAGACACTGCAGGAATCTCGGTACAGAGAGCAGCAGCTGGAGCTGACCAATAGCAGCCTGCAGCGCCACCTGGAGCGAATCACAGAGGAGAAGGAGGAGAGAGAGAAAGAGGCTGTTTCCTGGTTTAATGCATTAGAGGTAAACATACCAGCATTTAACTACACTTGTACACTTAAAGAGCTGCAACTAACAGCTATTTTGATAGTCAAATAATCTATTAATTATTAAAATGAATAATCCAATGTTCACGTTATGAATCGTAAAATTACTCAATGCCTCTTATTTAGCTTTTAAATGTAGCCTGAGGTTGTTTAAGGCATGTGCTAATTAACAACAAAGACAATAAAGTGAATACTGCATTCAAAAATACATCTTTTGTTGACAGTTACTGCTGTAGCAACAGAATATAAAGTCGCATCCTGTCATGGACCTAACAGGTTTATCAGTAAAAACTGTGTTTCCTACGGTGTGTGCAGCTGATCTGCTGTAAACAAGGGATATCACACCAGTACTGCAACACAAGGGACAAACTGACACTATATTTTAGACAAAGAAAGGAATAACATGCATTACATTTGCTAAATTTACATAAAGGAAAAATAATTAAAAATAAATAAAATTTGTAGTAGACAGCTTTTCTCAAAGTTTATGAAGTTTCCCCTAACCTCACAAAATGGTGAATTTTATTTATTTTTTTACCAAGGGAGTCTGGTCCTAATTGGCCCCCACCTGAAATGATGCGCAGGTTAGGAGGACATATATCCGATGAACAGTATCGTTGTTTTATGATAATTATTTGCTAATCTCAACTCCATTAATAACTGATTGATCAAGAGAAAACCTATAGAAAACGTTAGAGCTCATAATGTAACATGGCTTTTAACATTAAGCTAGCTAGCTAACATCTTAAGAGACCAGTTTTGATCCTCATCAGATGCTCCAGAATAACTCAAGCTCAGCTTTGCAAATGCTGCAGTTCATGTTCCCACACAGGAGGTTTTAGGTGGAGAAGGTGTTAATATGCTTATCGTCATCAAGTTTTAAATACAGAGTAGACTTGGGCAGTATCAAAGTATTATGGTATACCTGGGTATTTAGAAATCCCAAAGGTATGACCTTCAAGACGGTCAAAAACAAAAAGCTCCTGTTTCTATGAAAGTGATAGATGAAACTGTACTGAGGTTATTCTCTCCTGTGTGACGTCTTCGTCCTGCACATGTGTAAAGCAGATGAGAAATCTGCTTATCTGCATAGCTGGCCAAGAAATGTGTGTTCTCCAGGAGAAACCTAGTTGTAGAAATCAGGTTTCTCTAAAGCTCTACCTCGATTACTGAAACAAGATGTCTCATTCACGTGACAGTTAAGAGAATGGCTTACTGGAGAAAGCCCACTGTAACACATAAACACACTCTGCATCTCTGTCTGTATATGCTCATGCTGTATGTCTTTGCATCACTCTGTCTCCCTACAGAAATCTCGTCTGGCAAACCGGGACCTCCAGATCCATTTGGACCAGGTTCTACAGCAGGCCCAGGATCCCAGCAGCAAAGGGAACTCCCTGTTTGCTGAGGTAAAAGACAAGCTTTGCTACTAACACTTCAGGAAACGAACAGCAAGGAATGCTCTGTCTTTGCTGAAGGGGAGAACTAAATGAATTCAGCTAAACTTATGTTAAAGTGTTCTACTCTGTCTCAAAATCAAAACATTGACAATAATTCTCTCTAACTCAAACAGTATATAGCTGAGAACGTCATTATGAACCTAAATATATGGCATGAGAGGTAAACTAAAAACTAACCAGCTAAAGCACAGCTAAAGTTAATGTAATTCAAAATCTTTCCTTTTTGTATTGCAGTTGGAGGATAAGCGTGCTGAGATGGAGAGACAGCTCATCAGTATGAAGGTCCAGTATCAGTCACTGCAGAAACAACACGCCTTCAGCAAACAGCAGCTGCAGCGCATGAAGGTACTGTGTGTTGTGGATGGAAATTGGGCTACGTCTGCTTTAAACGTGCACTTGTTGTTTGCAACTTGACTCACTGCATGGATGTGCATGTGTTGTGCAGGTCCAGATAGCCACTCTGATGCAGCTTCAGGGTTCCAGGGCTGATCCTGCTCAGCTGGAGAGACTTCAGTTCATGCTGTCAGAGAAAAATGGAGAGATCCAAAATCTAATGTGTAAACTGCAGAGACTGGAGAAGGGGGAGGTGAGCATTTAAAACCCACAAGTCTTATACATCAACAGGTAAAACTAGACTTAATGACACAAAATGTATGAAACAACTCAATAGTCATAGATTTCCTTTAGAAAACATTGAGACATGAGTACGTGTGAAAACTGTACTGTCATCATAAAAATTCTGTTTGTGTAGATGATGTTGAAGTCTCAGCCAGCTAATCCTGCTCCAGCAGAAAGCGGTGACGGCCAAGACGAAACTTACTACACTGACCTGCTCAAAATGAAGCTGAACAACACTGTGTGAGTTTACCGCCTCCCAGGCCTCAGAGGTCTTTTTGGCACTGCTCTACCTGACTTAATCAACTTATAAATAAACAGTTTGGGTGCATACTTCTATGTTAACTGTAATATTGCAGAAGCCACATTTAAAGCTACCAAAAAAACATTTAAACCTTAAAGACCTTTGTAGTCTGGTAAAATTTGTGTTGTATCATAAATTGACATAAAGAAGAGGCACAAAAGACAACTAGCCATAAAGAGAAATGGTATCCAGAGAGGTGACTGTAATGCAAACTATATTGTGCCTCTCGAATAAAGTTGCGCAAGAGAGCCAGTTGTTTTTCCTCTGTACATATTCACCGGGAGACAAATTCTGGTAACTCATTTAAAGGTTTACTTTTGCAACTATAACAAAAATATATAGCAAATTCAGTTCACAAATGAAATCATGTAATTTAAGTAAATTGACTGATGGGTTACAGAAACACTTTGAGTTCAAAAATGTGTGTGGATGGATTGGTCTATTTGCATACTGTCCTTGGTTAGCTTAAATTCTGTGTCTCTTCAGTAAGGATGCAGAGCGTATGGGAGATGAGCTTTCCCTGCAGAGGATGAAATCGTTGTCAGAGAGCCAGAGAGCTTTGGAGTTGGAGAGGAAACTCTTCTCATCTGAAAGGCTACTCAAACAGGTAACTGACTGCCGTGTTAACTCCAGAAATACTGGATCTCCTGGTCACATAAAACTGCAGCTGGAAGCAGCACTCACACCAATATACCCCACAAATAGTACTTTGAATACGGAACCAAATGAAACTTGGTTTTGTTTTGCATTGTGAAGCAGTAAACTGCAAAGGTGGCACAGATTTACAAAGAACTGTAAGCCAATCCTTGAGGTGAATACATGCTTAAGCAACCTAGCTTGGAAAGCGAACATGTTACATTAATGTTTTGTTTTGTAGTGCTGTCATGACACCAAAATCAAGACTTTCTTACGATATCTGCCTAAATATCTCGATACAGATACTGAAATGAACCACGGCAAAAACCTAAAACATCAGGAAAAGTAATGGAATAATAAATGACAGAACATGGGAAACTATTATTTATAATGGCAATGCAAGGCAGTGGAGGATGTGAAAAGAAGCCATAAAACAAAAACCAGTGTGTTCATGCATTTTAATATCCAACCAGCAGCCTGTTGCACCAGCAATACGTAAGTTCTACCTTAAGTTAGGGTGCAAAGTCCACACTAAACAATACGTTGAAACTAGTTAGTTTGAGACTTCAGTTGTGTCGATGTTTGGTTGCACCACCGAGACGTAAGGTGCATCTTAGCTACTCTGGCGTAAAGTCCATACTAATCAAAACAGTGTCGCAGAAAATGACGTTTACACATCCCATGGCCAATCAGTGAACAGCACTATTCTTAACAGAGTTTATTACGGTTTTGTCATCTGTTTGTCTCTCTCTCTTTCAACGTTTGCTCTACTGAAGAGGCTAACAGCTAAAAATAGCAATAAACCAACAAAAAGGGACCTATACAACATATAATTATGATTAGGTGATAACTATGAAACCTTAATCTACAGCTAGTCTCACAGTGACATCGAGTGGTAACACAGTTAACTACAACATAGACCTAATTTAACGGTGCCCGTAACGAACGGTAAAGTATAACAGGCAGATGAAATTGTAACATTATAACTTATATGCGTAGGACCCATTATTCCCCTCATATTTCAAAATCTATGTTTTGTTATTTATATTTTTACTCTTTAATCCAATATTTTCTTTGGGCTAGTAATCTACTCTTAATTTCGCTACATTTCATAACTTAACCAGTCTGTGATCTGCATTTTGCTTCATTAACCGAAATGAGCTGTGATCCAGGCTGTGTGCGCTTGGTTACGCAGAAGAGCCCGGTATAATTTGCTCCTCCTGATCCCAGTCACCCCACCTTTCAAAACGATGCACCATGACAACCACTTGACTATTTTATGGAGGACTTTACACCTATTAAGGACTAGGTGTAAGATTTAAGTTGTAACTTATGTCTACTTTGGATGTATTTCAGCTGGTGCAACCCTTAAAACGTTAGTAGTATGTAAACCCCGACTTAAGTTAGAAATTGCGTTCGGAACGCAAAAGGCGGAAGTGCAGCGCTGGAGCACACACAACAGAGAGACCGGCACTTTTCCTCTGTATTTGGCACACCACCGCTGTGGAATGAATAACAACCCCACTAAAATGTCACACAATTATTAATTTCAATGCACAAGTGATGATTTTAACTCGCACACTGTGAGCATTGTGACACTCGACGCTCGGCAGCTCTCTACGTATCTTGTGTGTGTGTGAGGCCGAGCAAATGAGAGAGGGAGAGCGAGCGGCAGAACACGCGGTGAAAGTTAGCAGAGAAAACTATAAGCAGTAAGTTTCTGTATGGTAGTAAATGTGCAGCATAGGTCACTGTGTGTCCGTTAATAATAGTATGTAGTTTCCCCAACGGCTGGAAAAGTGAAGGCTGTTAGCGCTAGCTATCATATCTCTATACAAGGGCTTGCTCTCTGTCCCCCACACCAGACTCCGGACTTTTGGGGAGCCTTCAGTGTCACAGCCCCCAGTCTGGAACTCATCCCCACAGAGATCCCAAATGCTCCCTGTCTGGACACTTTCACAAATCTACTAAAACTCCAGCTCTTTACCAAGCCATTCAATCCTGAATGACTTTTTGTTTTTCTGTCACTGTAACTTTGTATAAAGGTTCCTTGGGTCCCGTGAAAGGTGCTAAAAATATTTATTTATGTAACATTAGCTAAATTAGTAAAGTAGTAATATTAATTATCAGCTGTATGTCATTACTAACTAACCTACTAAAGTGCTGAGAACATCTGGTACAAGCTTAGACTAAACTGGTGTACAGCTCTGTCCTGTATACATACTGTACATCCTTATAATTTTTCAGTTTTCAGAGGAGTCTGACAGCTGGTTGTGAATGAAATGAGGGACGATGGAGATGAGGTTAATAAAGTAAATTAGGGATGCAAACTAGTCCTTTTAATCTAATAAGGAGATGTTTCTTTTGGATTTTAATGCTCAAATTAAATGCTTTGTAATTATTCAGAGATCCTGTATAGAAAAAAATTATGCATCAAGATGCATTGATAATCGTTTTGTAATCGAATCGCAGCCGTCTGAATCGTAATCGAATCGTGAGGTGCCCAGAGATTCCCACCCCAAGTCACAATGCTGCTTATAAAAGGTTAAATCCTTACAGTGAGAAGCGCAAGTTTTTGTATCGCAGAGGTCTGCGCTCTAATGAGCGCATATATTTATAGAAATACTTGACAAATATAGACGCCAGCGGCAATGATTGATTATCCAAGCAAATGCAACATTTGACATTTTCAGAGGTGAATGCAAACTTGATTATTAGAGCATCACCTTGAGATCAGTGTCATTTTATGTACCTGACTACTGGATGAAATGTTCAATCCACCTGCCAAATTTTGTGTTTCCAAGTTTTAAGGTTTATGCTGCACACACTTTGTGTCATGGGATCCAAGAAGAACAGGAAAACTTTGACTTGATACTGTTTATATTGAATATACTGTGTATATTGGTGTTGTCACGATAGTGGAATTTCTAACTTCGATACAATACCTTGAAAAATTTGATAGCATTTTCAATACCATGGGGGAAAATTGACACATTTATTAAATGACTGAATATAATTGCTGAATTATCTAATCAACTTATTTTAGTCAGTAAAGTTAAGTACTGTGTAGAACAGCATCAGTTAATTTACTTCTAACCTTAGTCAAAGTATTTCCTATCAACTGAAACTCTGCTGTCTGAGATTCCTCAGGTCTGATAGCTCTGAGGGGGATTGGCTTAGTTTTGAGAATTATAAATGTCTGTTAGGTAAATAACAGGACAGCTAGCTTATCAACAACAGTTTACTGGGCCATTGTGTTAAATACTATTGTAGTGGCTAAGCCCCATTTAAAGCCACTGAGGGTTGCATAGACAGGCATCTAATTGACTCCAGTGTGATAAGAAATAATGTTGTTTCAGTGGTCAAAAAACTATGTGCTCCCCTCCATACAGCAACACCTGTCACCTGTGCAAAGGTTCCTACTTAAATTACCTTTGACCCAAAACGGACAGGAGCCACCTACTGAGTAGAGCACTGTACCCAACACACAAAAAAACATAAATGGCTCTTACACACTTGCCCCTAATTGTAATGACTACCAGACATAACAATTCCTATACCCAATTAAGGAGCCATACTCAAAATGATGCAATGATGAATACAATATACCACAATGCTTGGGATGACCTGCTGCTAAGACAAAGCAGACAAAGTTTAGTCATAGGCCTTTCTGTTACACTAGCTTTTGTCTGCTTTTGTCCTTTCATGTCATGGAAAGCCTCCAAGACTCTTCTAAGTGGGCAGTGGGATCCATAATGACCACAATATCTCCAGGCTTTAGATTTCCTGTTTTTTGGTTCCATTTTTGTCTCTCCTGTAGCAGAGGTAGGTATTCGCGTACACAACATTTCCAAAAAAGATCTGAAATAGACTGGACTTGTTTCCATCGCTTTCTTACATATAGGTCATGTGGTTCAAACAATCCAGGTGGTAAGGCAGGTCATCCTTTCATAAGAAGAATATGATTAGTTCTGCTCGAGGTTTGGTTCTGCTCGAGGTTTCTGCCTCTTTAAAAGGAAGTTTTTCCTTGCCTCTGTCGCCTAGTGCTGCTCTTGGTGGGAACTGTTGGGCTTCTGTAAATATCATCACAGAGTACGGTCTAGACCTGCTCTTTTATGAAAAGCACTGTGAGATAACTGTTGTTGTGATTTGGCGCTATATAAATAAAACTGAATTGAATTAGGAGTAAGGGGTTCAAGGTCATTTGGGTTGTCGGACAGCTTGGTGATAGGCCTATCATTTAAAATGGCTTCAGCTTCACACATGACTGTAGAAAGTCCGTCGTCCAGTTTCTGCTGTCGAAGAACTGCACTGAGAATCCTTCTCACCATGCGGATTACACGCTCCCAAAAACCACCAAAATGTGACCCTGCTGGAGGATTGAAATTCCACTTGACTCCCCTTTGAATCAAACACAGATTCAAGGATGTTTGCGGCAGAGATGAAAGGGCCTCTCCAAGTTCTCTCTCTGCTCCTCTGAAGTTGGTTCCATTGTCTGATTGAATGTGAGTGACCTCACCCCTTCTACAGATGAAGCGGCGTAATTCATTAATACATGCATCTGTATCCAGAGAGGTAGCAACTTCTAGATGGACTGCTCTACTTGCCAAACAGGTGAATACCACACCGTAACCTTTGACTGTGCTGTCCTTTCCTCACCTCTATCGGTCCAAAATAGTCGACGCCCACATTACTAAATGGCGGGTGATCGTAATCTAACCTTTCCTTTGGCAAATCTGCCATTTTTTGCTTTTTTTAAAATTTCTTTTATTAATAGAAAATAGAAAATACAGAACAAAACTCTACAAAAACACTACAAAATTTTAACAATTTTTACAAAATGCATTACAACAGAAGAATAAATATGATATGAAAGAGAGAGGAAAGACTACATGGTTTCATAATTATAATACACATAAAATATTATTCAATTTTTTGTTATATTCATCTAATTGATTGTTGCTTTCTGCT